AACTGTGATTCCTGTACAGCACTTTGGTCAACCCCGGTTGTTTTAAATGTGCTTTATAAATAAAGTTTGAGTCGAGTATAAGCAATAATTAAAAAAAATACAAGAAATAAACTTAATATTTCATCATGTTATCATATTTCATTATTTTTGTTTTTTTGTTTTGCTGTATCTGTTGTTTCCTCATCCAGCTCAGCAGTCATACATGTTAAACACTGGATTTCAACACTTCATTAGATCACAATGTTAAAGAAATTAATAAAGTTTTAGGACTCTGTGATACAGAAGAGGGAGAAAAAAACAAATTAAGAGGTTATGTTCACCTTTTGTGAAGTCTCTAAACAACTTCCTTCCTAACATTCTTGTCAGAGATAAGACAAACCAAGCCTTTCCTCTCAGCAGCATTTGGTACATTTTATTTTGCACATCATACCCGTGGAGGTAATTCTTTACATCAGGTTTCTAACCTTCTTTACGACTTGCTTCTATTTAAAAATAGTTCAGTAAACCTACAAAGATTACTGTTTGCCTGCTGTAGTTTATCCAAAAGTAAACCAACAAAGCTTCACATGTTTGCACATTTATCAAGGAGACAGAATTAAAATCCTTCATCAACACTAAAACTGCAACTTTGCAATGAGTCAGTTAAACATCTAGAATCTCCACCTTTTAGTTTCTCTACTACTTGCAAACTTAACCTAGTGATACAGAAAATCTTCTGCACTGTAGTAAAACAGAAACTAACCCCCAAATCATCATCAGCAGAGAGGGCTTAAATCAGAGATAGTAACTCGTGCACTGTAAAAAAAATACCAAAACTAAAGGTGATAACCACAGCAGCAAAGTTAGCGGCTGAAGCCGTTAACCACAAGCTCCGCCCACACACTCACTCATAATCTGCCACTGTCGGTCTGAATTTATGCTTCTATGCAAATTGTGGATTATATTTTGAAGTTGTTCACTAAGAATGTTTAATTTAGAGGTAAGATTTGCTAAACACGTAATAAGTAAATATATAAACAACAAAAGAGGTTTTCTGTTGGAGTTTTAGGATGAGGAATACTAATATTATGTACACATGCAAAAGTGCTGCTGTATTATCACTAGAAATATTGCTCATTTTAATAGTAAATTTGTTGAATGTTATAAATCAAATGGTTTGTTTGAACAGATTTTCTTTTCAGTTTTTAAAAAATGCTTTTTCATGCTGATAAAACAGGATTAAAAAAAATATATAAAGAAATCCCTTCAGCACTGAAGTCAACCCCATGCTTCCCTTATTATAGCTAGAGTTCTAAGAAAACATGGTTCAGTTTCCGCCTCTGTAAAATCAACTAGACAAGAGGAATCTCTTTTGAAATCTGCTGAATGACTCTCATTTTTGTTTAATTTGATGGCCTTTGTTTCTTCCTCTAAGGTTGGGTTTAATTCTAAACCATCTGAGAACCACTGTTGTGACCCAAAAAACGTCCCACAGAAGCAGGAAGAGAAAGCAGATGGTATCAGTTTCTACATAAACGAGGCTCCTCTAGATGTACAACACAAACTTTCTGTTTTTGTGCATTGATTAAGAGCACTGAAAGCATTTGGACATTCAGATTAATCATTGGTGCTGAGAAAGACACCCTAAAACCACCACTTTAAAAAAGCCAGAATCAAACGAAAGCACAGTACTCTGTATTAATGATGCACTTTCATGATTGGATCGATCAGAGAACAGAGAACACGGTTTCAGCAGAGACTCTGTCAGCCTGCCAGATCCTTCCTTCCTCTGCAAGAATCTACAGCAGAAGTAACTCACATGACCAGATTTCCTGCAGTACTGTGGACCAGTCGCACATCGAAATATCTCACACAGCACAATTTTTTGCATCGTAAAATGTACTTGTTAGGGAGCAGGAAAAGAATGCCTTTAAGATCAGCAAGGAATGACTTCAGACAGGACTTCACAGTGCATTTAGGGTAACTGGTGGCTATCCGGCTATAATAAATTATTATATATATATATATTATTAAAGCTATTAGCTATTTTTTTTTTTCTGTATTGGCCGATAAGTGCGAGCATTAGTGCCTTGAGATCAGAGGAAGCGCATGCATTGCCCCTTGCTCCATTTGCTATTTATTATGTTTTGTTTGATTGGTAAATTTTGTATAATCTTAAATCCTCCTCATCACATATAAAGCCTTAAACGGCCAAGCTCCATCTTATATCAGAGATATGATTGTTTCTTATGTTCCTAACAGAACACTTCACTCTCAATCTGCAGGTTTAATAGTGGTTCCTAGAATTTTTCAAAGTAGAATGGGAGGCAGATCTTTTAGTTATCAGGCTCCTCTCCTGTGGAACCAACTACCAGTTTTAGTCAATGAGGCAGACACCCTGTCTACTTTTAAGGCTAGGCTTAAAACTTTCCTTTCTGATAAAGCCTATAGATAGAGTAGCTCAGGTTATCCTGGGCCATCTCTATAGTTATGCTGCTATAGGCTTAGACTGCTGGAGGACATAGGGAGCCTTTTTCATCATATCTCCATTCTCCCATTCTGCAATATTTGTTAGTTCAATCTCTAACGTTATGCTCTCTCTGCCTTTTGTCATAGCAGCTNCTGAAGTCAACCCCATGCTTCCCTTATTATAGCTAGAGTTCTAAGAAAACATGGTTCAGTTTCCGCCTCTGTAAAATCAACTAGACAAGAGGAATCTCTTTTGAAATCTGCTGAATGACTCTCATTTTTGTTTAATTTG